TAATAATAATAATAATAATAATAATAATAATAATGACAATAATAATAATATCAATAATAATTACAATTATTATGATTGTTATTACTATTATATTGTTATTACTATTCTTATCGTTATCGTTTCTTTTATTCTCATTAATATTGTAATGCCTTATTACTTAGAAATTTTGAGCCTTTAGCTAATGGTAGCATGCGGCTACTCATAAATTTTAATCATAACCACAGTGAAAATAGTGATAATACTTGAATTAATAATGATGAAATTCAAGGCTCGAACCGTATCACGACAAGCACTTTCGTTACGACGATACGAGATTCGCGTATTAATTCAAGCAATGACAATCTCATTCTTCATTGGTTTTGTGACGTTGAATTGGTATAATTTTGATACATTTTTATTATCGACTAAATGGAATTTCTTCATCGTTAATTCAATGTGGATCTTGAACTGTGGTATTAATCCGATCCTTTATATAATTCTAAATAAGTTTGTTCTTGTTCTTCTTATCGTTACTTTTGTTATCATTGTTATTATTGTCATTATTGCTGTTATTATTTGGATTATCACTGTGCGGTCATTTGGGCCCTGCAAAATTGTGACACCAACCCGATTTAGAGCAGTTTTCACTGTTCATTTTCTATACGTGATGCGAATGGACTCTTAATATTTTTATTTTTGCTGTTATCATAATTGTGATGATCAGATTGAAGTTTTAGGACAATACGACATAAATCGCTGATATTTTTAAATAAACATTTCTCAACAAACTTCGTGATAACAAGCTTTGAAGAATCTTTCACGTGGCCGACTCTGAGTCACAATAAGATGCTCGCAAGGCGCAGCAAAACGGTACGTGTTGCTATTATTAAAATGGTCATTATCATTACCACTATTATTGTTGCTATTACTATCGTTCTGATTAGCATTGCCTCTCTTATTACCGTCATTGTTACCATACTCGTGTAGTTTCCAGATTATCGCCAAGCAAACAAGACGGAGCGGTGCTGCCTCTGTGCTACTGAATGAACCAGAAAGCAGATCGCTGACATTCTCTCAACATCTATAGTCTTCTTATATAAATCTTATGATCGGTTATTATCAGTAACGGAATCAGCGGAATCCCTCGTTGAGTTGATGTTAGTCTTGATAATAATTACATAAGCGATGTTGTGCTGGGTCATTAGCTAAATGATATGTTATTCGAAGTAATCGTCGTAATAGCGAATCGGTGACTCATTGGGTAGGATAGATTATTTTTAGTATGCGATAAGTAAACATGTACGGGATTTCGATGTATTCATACGATTAATGAAAGATATCATGATGAGTACCCATTGATTACACATTGAAGTGAACGCTACGTTGCGACTAGTCACTGATTAGTCGGTCGTTAACGCGTCGTCTCACTGCCAATGTTATCAGCATTATCATTCACAAATGACCATTGGGTAATTATCGATCAGTTCTTCAGAAGATGACTACCAGTCAAGCAGAGGAGAAGACACACAGTGAATGTACTGACTCCAAGAATCTCGCTGAGGCCATATTGCATTCAAGGCAGAAACGCTATGCAATGAATTTTCACCTCCGTATGCTCAACATATCGATCAAACAATTCGCTGAATTCGTGGATGTTCAAAAGAGCATAACAGCAATAAAATAAGAAATTAACAGTCAGCCATGTTTGGAACAATTTTCACTGTTCATTATCTATACGCCATATGAATGGACTCTTTGCATCTGACATTCGAATTATCAGCAATTATTACGGTAGGTAATTTGCAGCTGAACGCGAATGATTTGATCTAAATTTTTGAGCGGAATCAGCAGTCGTACATTAATGCTGCGATTATTTTTTGATATCTGTATTTGTGTTTTTTTGATCGATTGAAGACAGATACCATCGCGAATATTGGTACATTTGTTAGGGAAATTCGATGAAGACAGCAATCGCAGCGATCATTATGAGGACTTTCCTAGATATGCACTTCCTCATTGATAATTCCAATCGAGGATTCGCATCAGATGATCGTGTTTTTAATTGTTATCAATTTCAGAACCAAACGAATGATGAAGAGAACTTGTCATCTGATCGTGAGATATCGCGGTGTTCCTCACGAAGGAACAAGC